TAAGATAAAATTTTGAATAATAGCTCATTACAAAGAAGACAAAATGCTGAACATTTTCCTCGCTTACAGTATAAAGATCCGCTTTTTAGTATCTGAAATATTTTAATCTATATATTCAACTCGTTATCATTTGGTTTTGGACATTATTTTTTTCTTTTCGACTCCCTAACACGGCCTCGCGTTAAGAATATTTTGAATTATAGCTTATAACAGAGAGGATGAAATGCGGAATAATTTCCTCGCATACAGTTTGCAGGCCCGATTTTTAGTTTCTGAGATATTTTAAACCATATGTAAAAACATTTCAACTAGTCGACTATAGCTGTCTTTACCCGAACGTTAAAATCTGACGTATCAATCTAATTCACTCTCCACAAAAAATTGCAAAACGAGCCTAAAGGAGTTTTTACTTAAAAAACAAACATAATCTATCTACTAACATCCTCCTACCCATGAATCCCAACCACGGGCGGATCTACGGGGGGGGGGAGGGTCTTTCGGGCTGAAGCCTCCCCAAAATGGAAAAATATAACCATGTTTTATAGGAAAAAAATTTAAAAAATACCTCTTAAAGTATTATTGTTCGTGTAACTACATTTAAAAGTACTTAAGGAATAACTTAAACACCATTTCATATAGGTAGTTAGTTTCTTTCTGTTTTTCCAAAATAATTATCGTTATATTTATTTTTAAAAAAAGGTTTCGGGCTGAAGGCCCCCCAAAATTAAATTCTGGATCCGCTAGTGATCCCAACAACGATCCCATGTATAGAACTATCTCTACTTTCAATATTTTCAGCCCAGAGACCTATTTGACGTACAGAGCTAACATTAAAAAACTAAGATCAGTTAATCACTCAGTTAAGAGTTTCAAATCTCGGTTAAATTAAACGAAAAAAACAATTTTCTACTTCAAAGGCCAAGAAACCTGCACTTTCTGTAACCAATTCATTTCTAACAGCCTGTTCTACATCCTTTTCTACTACGTAAAGCTGATAGAAGACAGACATAAATATTCATGAGAATTTCTCTCTACACCCAATGATATATACAAAATAAAAGGCGTACTTCAAATCATGTCAATTTTTATTTTGTATTATTGTTTCATTGATAATGTAGGTATATAATTTAGTTATAAAATGTATTGAAGTGTTTATTATTTTACAGTTATTGTTTTTATAATGAGTCGCGTAAATTGACAGTTATGAACAATTAGACTCATATGGATGAAGCTAATAATCATTTATACATGTATGATTGTAAATATTTAACAAATAAAATTCGATTATATTCTAGTTGTCCGTTGGAAGATGAATTTGTTAGTAATGAACTTGATACTTAGATCCTTGGTTACGTAGTTACAATTCACAAGTCAGTCTGATCGGAAATGTGAACGTCACAGATAAGAAAATTCACCAAAAGCCGTTTGGGTCACAGATGTCGGAAGTGAGGAATGGTCACGATTGTGACCAATGTCGCAAGCTGTGACCTCTGATTACTAAAAACAATGCGTGTAGTCTTTGTAAGTTATACATCCGGCTGTGTATCTATGCATCCACGTATGAAGTTTATCCATCCACATCTATGTACGAATTATTTCATCTTTGTTAAAAGATGTTTTAAAGATAAATTTTATTATATAATTATTAATTTTCTTTTAATAATTATAACTGGTTCAACTACACTATAACACTTCATGATAATTTATTTATTTAAACATTTTAGATAATAGAAGGAATAAAATAGATAGCATAATTTTAAATTATAAAATTTATTATTATTATTATTATTATTAAACACTTTATTCAGAAATATTACAATTTGTCACAGTTATGGACACTTATAATAGAGTTCAGAGAGTACATTCATACCGTATATACAAAAATATAAATAAATAAAGTAATAACAAAAGAATAAGAAAAAATAACAAAAGAGAAAAAAAATATATATATATACACATAAGTAAATAAAAATAGAAATAAAAGTAAAACAACCATCTTATATAAAACATACCTATATACATTATTTACAATTTGCCAGGTGATTTCCGAACCAATCCTGTCCCCTCCACATGTGGAGGGAAAAGGGAGGCTTAGGAGATCCCTAAGCTTCTCCCTCAGCCACTAAATTATAAAATTATGAATGAATGAATGAATGAAAATAATTTTATTATTCTGGGACTAGTGTCCCTTTAGAACAATTTACAAATACAGAATATATATCAATATTCTAGTGTGTCTATAAAATACAATTTAATATTTACAAGATGGTTAGGATTACAATAAAATTATAGATAATAAAAAGATATAAAAACGTGTATACATATAAAATAAACAGAGAAAATAAATTAAGTAAACAAAATATCAATGAATCACAAAATAATCAGTGTAACTTATTATGCTTAAGTATGAGATTATGCTATCTATTTTTTCCCTACTATTGTCTAATATTCCCCATATAAAACTCCCTTATATGCTAAATTTGAAGGCGACTAGAAAAAGTTTAATTATAAATTTCTTAAATTCACTTATTTTACAATACAATAAGAATTATAGTATATAATAATAATTTAATGTTTCGGGTCTTACACCCTTTTTCAATTTGCTCTGCTATGATGAAATTGAATTCCTTAGATTAATTCAATTTCCGTTTTATAAACACAAAAATATAGTACGAGTTTTCACATGAACAAAAAATGAGGAGGAAGCAATTCTGCCTAGTTAACCAAAAACAGAAGCGGAAGAAATTATCTCTGAATACACTCGTACACGTTCTGCTGGTGAAAGGATATCGTCGATCATTACAGCGCTCTCTGTCATTACAATTCTGATCAATGACGGAAGAGCTATATAAGACCAGAATCATAATAATACATCATTAAATTTATAGGACTCTTGATTTATTACTATATAATAGATTAGATGCTTTAATTGTTTTAAAATATACAAGAACGATTTCCTTAAAGGTTCAGAGTAATCTTTGATTGAATACGACCGTTAAGATCAATTTACAACATACCTATGTATAAAGTAGTTACTTTGGAGGATATTTAATTCGAAAAAACAGACTTCTCAAGAACGAGTGACGAAGTCTTTACTTTACAAAGGAAAAAAAAAATAGTTTGCCTAAAAGTGAACTCTGTCGAAAAAAAATTAATTAAAAAACATAACGAAGTTTGGAGATTTGTTCTGGATTAATGTTCTTTTGTCTCAATAAATTGCCGAATGTAGCTATTACTTAGACCAGCAACTGAATGGGAGAAAAAGAATAAAATAGAAGAATGTAGGGGGGACGACCTGTAGTTTACGGTGAAGATTAACATTATTAACAACTAGATATAGCGTTATTACCTACAGTACTACAATTAAAATTATTTAATTGCCGCCCTCTAGTTTATATTGACAACAACCAAATTCTTTAAACGGATAGTTATCTTGGACTTCCAACAGAAGGATGACATGGGGCCCGCATATAAAAATGTGACGTAAGGCACCAGCGGTTCCAGAGTTTAATTTCGTGGGGGGCTTCAGCCCGAAAGCTTTTTTTAAAAATAAATATAACGATAATTACTTTGGAAAAAAAGAAAGAAACTAGCTACCTATATGAAATGGTGTTTAAGTGATTCCTAAAACCCTTTTAAATGTAATTACACGAACAATAATACTTTAAGAGATAATTTTTAAATATTTTTTCGATAAAACATGGTCATATTTTACTATTTTGAGGGGGAGAGTTTCAGCCCAAACCCCCCCCCCCCCCGTAGATCCGCTCGTGACGTTCTAAGAAACTACTAAGAGGTGAAGGCTCTTAACAATCTACTTATCCCATTTTTTCCAAATCATCAAAACTAAAACTGAGACAGAACCTGAATTCATATACATACTTACTTAAACCCATTTGGACATATTCATCACAGATACACTGTATCTCTAATAAGGGCTACCTCAAAAACTTCAAACTTTCCAATAAAAATTATTGCGACTTGTAACAAAACCACGTTGGTACATGACTAACTCTACAAACTGATCTCCATCTTCCAACAGTTGACAAACAATAACGACCCTTACCAAGGATGAGAGATATCCTTCCTTAAACAACTTAACTAATTAAAAACAAGTTATGGAAGAGGTGCTGCTGAGTACTGTCCTTCCCCATGCCTGACATGCCATTATTTCTTGCATTCTCAGCACATTGGCTGATTATCAATAAAAGTGAACAGGTGCAAACAGATGTTTAAAAAAACAGTTACAAGCAGTCATATATGACAGTAAAACGCATTGTTCACATAATCTCTCTTTTTTTGTAAATCCGATACATTTTTTTTTTTAAATATTTATTCAAGATATTTACAACTGTATTACAATATAAATACATCACGTAAATGTGCACACAAGAATATAATCACTTGAAAACGCTTGTTGAGAAACTACCCACAGGTAGCACCCTAATAATATGTCTACATAAGGAGATCACGAGGTCATCATCTTCACAGAAATCGAAGAGGAAGCAAGGTTAGAAACGAGAGGATTCGGATGGTCATGAAGTTTATTATGGAAGGATAGGTATCTGGGGTTGGGCCAAATCGGAAACATATGGTACATTAAGGTCATTATGGATTATATTATTTGTGACAAAGTAAGGAACATTGAGTCGATAAATCTTGAATGTTGAATTTGACACTTATAACAGGTTAAATTAACTGTTAAATTTTTACCTCCGAGGCGTCTGAAAAGAAGATGGCCTCGTGATCCCCTCTTGTAGACAAATTATTAGAATGCTACCATTGGGTAGTTTCTTAACAAGCGTGTTTCATGTGATTATATTCCTCTGTACACATTTACTTGATGTATTTACACATACTAATACAGTTGTAAATATCATAATAAAAGTTTAAAAAAAAAACAGTTAAATTTTATATTATGTAATATAAGTACTGTTGAAGTAAGAGGTTGAAGATCCTCTCCATTGTTACAAGTAAATAAGTCTATTGATTGATTCAAACAGGGAAAGGAGATGCGGAATGATGCTGCTGATGATGATGACGACCCTAATGCTGATCACAGCGGCGACTGCAAACCGAGCCCCGTACTTCGCCAACGGAGGCGACATGGCTAAGTTCGCCCTAGCGGAGGGCACTGCCGTCGGGTCCCCTGTCTACAGGCTCCAGGGGATAGACCCCGAAGGGGGACCTGTCCATTACTCCATCTCTGGACAACACTTCGTCGTAGACAGAGACTCGGGGATCGTCAGTCTTGTGAGGCCTCTAGATCGTGAGGTCAGTCCCATCATAGAAGTCATCATCAGTATAACAGGTACAGCTTTTTTATTTCAAGATTTTTTAAAATTAATCCAACCCAATATATGTCATTTTTTTTGCTAATTTTATTTTTCGAATCGCACCTGCTTGTTTCAATAATCAGCATATGAGCTGGCATAATTACGGAAGATAAAAGAAACAAAACAAATATTTTATTTGGAGCATTATTGTAAAAGTTTCACTATTTGAAAGTTCTATGAGGATGATTAGTTAAACCAGTAACCGTTGAATAAAATGTGCGATAGACAAATCGTAACCATCGTTTAAATAAGAAAAATCTTCCATATAATAGATTTAGACAAATTAATATCCATTGAAGAATAATAATTCGGCAACAAATCAATATACGTTTCGCGTTTTTAGAATGAAAGGTTGGAATGGGCAAAACCGTTCAAGTAATTATTGGTCGAATTAGAATGACTAGCTCACGACAAAGTTTTTTCATAATCCAATGTCTGATTTAATACCTGATTGAGTAGAAATAATGAAAAGATCGAAACTCGTGGCTACTTAATACAAGAAGTAGAAGGTTAATATATCACTCGGCTGGATGATTCAGATTACTCGATCGGTAAAACGAATGAGTTACATGTATAGAATAGATTTATTGCGCTATTTTTTTTAATTTATTAATTATAAAATATAAAAGTAATGTTTTTTTTTTGTTTTTAAGTATATAAGCAATACTTAATTATTAATTACCGTACATACAAAAAAATGTTCTATTTCATTTCCTCGTAATTTACAATTGCTTATATTTATTTAATATGCTCTAATTTCTTTTAAATATTATACAACTTGCTCATGAACCTCTGGTCTCCCTTCAAAACGAATCAATCTTTTTATTTGAAGATGTGTTCAATAATCCTGATAACTTCAAAGATTACATAGTTACTAATTTTTGTGTTATTTATATTTGATTGAAAAAAGTTTTAATTTCAGGACAGAATAGCGTTATCATTTACTAAAATGATAATAATTTAGGAAGAACAATTTCTGAATATTTACGACTAGCTCAAATTTTAAGTAAAATGATCTAGATAGCTAACAGGATTCGTTTCTTCACCCCCAATGGAATCTAGTCATCTAAAAATAAGTATGCACGCGTATATACATATATTTCCTAAAAGTCTTGAGTGTGAAATATGCTAAGAATTAAAAGAAGGCAGAAATGAATTAAACCATGAATGGACTAAGCAGACGCGGAAGGTGCCGGATATGCTCGAGATTTAAAATATCTTAAATTATATGATTTGAAAATGACCAATAAGGTTTAAAAAACTCTCCATAATCGAATAAATCTAAAATCAAAATGTTATACTTCTGGCTGATAAGTGAAAACGTTTTGTTATAAGGATCCCTAAAATTGTTCACAATTAGGGATCCTAATTGTCTTTATCCACACTTAGGTCATTAGCAATATAATTAGATAGTTTTATTGTTTAACCTCCTGTGAAGTTGGGAGAATTTAGGCAGGTGGTAGACCCATATGACGATATATAATTCTAGAAGAAAATGAGAATATTAAAAATGTGAAATTAGCCAATTACAAAACAGTCATAAAGGAATCAAAATATGAAATGAAAATGTTAATGTGAAAACTTATTTTATAATTTAATAGAAAATTAAAGTGATAAACGGAAATATTGAATTTCTGTCCAGGAAGAATCGTCCTCTAAAAGATACAGTGGTAACCGCGACATCTGTTGTGGAACTGTGTCACTAATGATTCAATTGACGCTATATATAATATCAACTTTTAAGAATAATATGTCATATGTCATTTAATGTTATGTAATATGTCATTTAATGTTATGTAATATGTCATTTATAATAATAATATTAATTAATCATTATATTTCTATTAAGCGATTGAGTTTTTAAAAATTATAGTAGGTAAAATACCTTTGAAACATATATTTATATTTTTATCAATAACTTAAAAAAATAATTATGTACTCCACATTTTACACATAATACCATCTTGTTAAAGAGGCATATCAATTTTACTGTCCTACAATGCTGCAATGACTAATAATAATGGTTATAGTTTTAAAAATAGATCAGAATATTATAAAATTTTAATAATTATATGATGTATAATAATATTATTTTAAGTATTTGTACAGTTTGATATTTCATTAGGTAGTTTTAATTATTAGATCATATGTGTTTAAATTTTGTAAAGTAGAATTATCTAATCATTAAAAACGTTAACATTAACAATGTAGAACATTGTTATTAATGGTAAATTTGAATCAGAGTTTACATTAATTGTAATTCATTATTTTTAGATTCTTTTTTTTTAAAACTTATTTATTGAAAAATATTACAATCTGTCACAAGGACATATTCTTAAAGTATGCCTAGAAAAAAAGAGTATCCAATCAGTTAATTGTAATCAACCGTAAAATTTCAGTCATTATTTTTATATTCTTAAATTATTGCTAGAAAAATCCTAGTATCCTATCAGACAATGAAATAATATATTAGTGGTAGGAACAGTATTATACTATAAAAAGTGGTTTGAATAAGTCAATTAAATAATCATTTAAAAACGGAAGGAAGATATGTCGTCAGTTTATTGCAAAAAAATCACTAAATTAAGTCCTTTTTTGTTGGTGCTGAACTTTCAAGAACATTTTGTGAATTTCTACCTTATTTACCAAATAAAAAAAACAGAGTTAGAGTACTAAAATTAAAAGAAGCCTTTTATGTATCCGATATAGTTACAATGAGCACACAATTTTCTTTTTTCACAAAGAGAAAATTCATCAAAGTTCTTATTAGCTTTTTGCACTAAACCAAGGATATCCTATATGAATTATTTACAAGGCAATCTAATATTCATATATTTCGAAAATACATATTATATATCCATTTAATTCGGATTCGTCTCCTGTAAATCAAGTTCCATACAGCTAATTCAGTCATTGAGTCAAAATAATTACACATTTTGTTTTTAATTTTTGTGTCATTCATTTCGATGGACTTTGACCCTGTAATCACCAAACATTCATTTAATGGGACATGGGACCTCTAACAATCCAAAGCTTGTAATATTTTTTTTTTTAAATCTTATATGTTATAGGAATATAACTTTCAGGCATATTCGCGACTAAGACATAAATAAGTTTAATTGTAAATAATTGAGGAGTTAAAGCATGCTCATAAATGTCCAAATTTTAAATCAGTGCATTTTTCGAGCATAAAAAAAAAACCGTTCATTAACAAAGACGTTCATCTTTAGATTGCGTGGGTAATTACTATTCATATGTATTATTCCTCCAGGGTGTACTTAGATCAAAAGAGTTCTTTGTAAGGCAGGTGTTACTAACAAGGGGCTAATGAACCTTAATGAATGACCCATTGCTATTTTAATTACTTTGGTAGATGACCCGCTGGGAGAAGGCGAACCCAACACCGTCTCCCTTAGGCGAGAGATTCCAATCTTGGACGCCAACGACAACGTACCGGAGTTCTCAGGAAGGCCTTACTCCGCCGTCGTGTCCGAGGCGGCCAAACCAGGGACCATAATCTTCTCAAACATCATCGTCAGTGACGCAGATGCGGCACAGAATTCAGAGATTGTCATAACTTGCGTATCGGGAGGTTGCGAAAAGTTCGACATCAACACAGAGAAGGTAACCTACAGACTGTATTCATATTTCAAATAAATCTAAATTTACAGAAATTATTAATATTAAAATTGATTAAAAGCTGTAATAGTAAGGAAAACATTTTCCAGAAATAACACTAATATCAAAAGGAATACTCTGAAATAATTCTTATTCTGAATAAGAAATATTAATCGTAGAACAGTAATTTTGAAGAACTACTATAATATAAATCATTTCCAATATCTTTAAAGTAAAGAAATTTGATTTTCCTTATACATTATGGTCTTTCAATAGAACAAAAAATTGATATTGTCAACTATTAACATTGATAAAACAGGTAGGTGAGTAATAAGTTCAAGTTCCGAAAAGTTGAGATTTCATACAATTTCGTTTGAGCTATCGAAACTGTTAGGACATTTTGAACCATCTATGGGAACTGTAAAGGAATATGAATCCAATTATTGAAATGTTGGAAAATGTAGTTCAAATTTTGATAAAATTATAAAATTCATTTAATAATTTTTAAAAAATATGCTCAAATCTTTCACGATCAGTTTGAATTTACACAACCCATCGATTTACATATGTACAATGTGCTTTGACTGGGGCATAGGTCTGGAAACGTTTTACCACACAGCCCACATTGAGACCTCTCTTAAGTCTCTCGGGCCAGGGCTCATGATGAAAACAAAAAGTTTCATAAATGGCACTTCAGTTGTGAAAAGAGCTTTAGAAACAACTCACATAGAAAAAGTCGTAGTAACCCCCGGTTTGAATCATTTACTAAATGTTATATTGTTAGCATTTTGCTTAATAATTTTAGTAATCAAAGAAACTTTCGAGGGCCGAATCCGTCCTCCGAACTTAGAGACTCCTGGACCCCCAGAGAATAGAATACACGTTTATTGTGTACTCTATGCCCCCTTTTCAAGAAAATATAAACCCAACTATTGTTTTTAATTTATTATTGAATTTCGAAAAATAATAAAAGCTACTTTAAAAGTGTCTTTTTCAGATGTGAAATCGAAATTATTGAATCCATTTTCAACTAAAAAGGTTTACATCTGGACTTTCCATGTTATATTATATGAAAGCCTGTATTATTACAAACATTAATTGTATGTATTCTGAATTAAGCAAGCATCAATTTTTAAAATGAAACTAAGATTGCCTGCTGCCAGCAAGATAAAAAGACAGTTTTCAATTTATTTATATATAATTATTTTAACGAAAACGATTCCTTGAAATCTCATACTCATTTCTTAGAATGAGAGTCATACCTATTTGAATTGCTTAATAGAAGTAAAAATCGTGATAATGAAGACATTAATGGCATACTATAATTATTTTCTAATATGTCAAACAATGAAATTGCATATCGTAAATGGAATATTACTAACCTTTAAGTTAACTCTTTGGTAAAGCAACTGGAACTTATCACTGGGAGGGAAACAAATATTTTCACTACTATTAATTCTCATCACAAACGTAATGAATCTAATTACTGGCTACCTTCAGAAAAGCGCGGTTAATTTCACAGCCAGGCATAGCTTTCGTTGAAAATCATCATTGTCAATAAAACTGGTGTTCGTCTACTTATGGCTTATTTAAATTTAATGTTTTTAATTTTTAGGTTTTTTTTTTTTTTTGGTAATTTTATTTTGGATTATTGGTAGTTCCTTCTCAGTATTTGCAGCTTTGCGCGCCCTATTTGAAGCGTACACATGTAATTAAAAACCTACATAAATCTTGAATTGAACTATGGAAAGCAGTATTGATTTTTTTCTTCAATGATTTTTTAAAAATAATAAATTCCAAATCATTTTCATTTGATTAAGTCAGGTTTTAGCTTATGTTTCCTATTTTTAAAAGGATGGGATAAGTTAACTTTCTTCAACACTGTCATTATAAGTAAACTTTGTTTTATTAAAGTAGGTTTATTGATTAAAATTAAAAAAAAAAAAAAACGTTTCCTCAATATTTAACTTAATAGATACTGTTTATTTTCAGATTGCAGAGGGTCAGTATAAAGGAATCATAACATTAAGAGAAATGCTTGATTTTGAAAGTGCAACTTCATACAGTTTAACAATCATGGCAAGTGATCAAAGTATTGACAATCCTCTTTCTGCTACAGCCAATGTAGCCATTAATGTTCGTGATGTTCAGGACCAACCTCCTGTTTTCTTGAACGCTCCTTATTCAGCTACTCTTCAAGAGAACACTTCACCAGTGGGTTCCTAATTTATAATAATTCCTTATTTATATCAAAGCAAACATCCTATTGATTCTAAACTGCTAATGAGTTATATGTGGTTCTTATGAGTTGAGGACTTTTTAGGGTTTTCAAGTACTACAAATAAAAGTGAAAGATGGAGATGTTGGTGACCCTCGCCCTATACTTCTGTCTATTGAAGGAGATACTCTTGGGTATTTTAAACTCGTTAAAAATTCACTAGTTACTTCACATATTCCAATCGATCGAGAAAATCCAGAAATACTTCAAAATGGAGGCGTATATACTTTTAATGTCAAGGCAAGTTCATATTTTAATCCTTAAGCAGTATTCTTTATATAATTATTTTATACATGATTATTTTATTTTGATGAATGTGTAATGATTAATAATGTTTTTATTTAAATAGGCAACTGAACTGATCAATAATGAGCTTCCTGGAGATTACAGTTATGAACGAGTTACTATTGTTATTACAGATGTCGACGATCAAATTCCTCAATTTAACAAACCATTATTTCATATAAATGTTTCTGAAGACATTGGTAATTTTTAATTCCAAACAATATTATTATATTATCTTATTATAGACAAGTTCCTAAACTGAGTGCTGAGCTCGTCAATGGCATCATTTTGCTGCTATCGATGACCTTAGTGCTGAGTTTGGGTACTTTTCCTATTCTTATTAACAGATATATTTATTTTTAAGCTTTGGGAACACCACTGCCTGGTCTGAACATGGTGGTGTCAGATGAGGATTTAGGTGAAAATGCTCACTTCAATCTTGGTTTGAAGTCTACTGACAGACGTGCAATGGAATGGTTCAGAGTTGAACCATCAGTTGCATTTGGAAGAACTCCAGTAGTCATAAGGGTCCATAGTAACTCTGGACTAGACTATGATACAGGCTTGAGGCAGATACAATTTACTGTTGTTTGTTATGTTCATACTACAAAGGTACATGTTTGTAAATATTAATCATTACACCATTTTTACCCATTTGCTTCTATTAAATTAAGAGACGTTATACGTGTTTAAAATAGTGTTCTGAACCTGATTTTGATGATTTTCCATAAGTACAAAAGAATTTTCTCAATTTAAACCTGTTGCCAAACTCTTTAGCATAGTCATCTATCTATCCAACTGTGCTGTCTACCCAAGTTTTTAACTTACCTTAGTGAAATAATTTACATTTTATAGTGGATATAAAATTATAACATGATACTTAAAAATTAAGACAACAATATTAAATTTATATATTTTTAAAAATTATAATCAACTGTGAACTTTGTTTCTCTGTATTTTAAGGCTGTTATCATTCTACTATACTATATAGGAACTGTTTTTTCCCCTATTCAAGATATTGAACTATTTTAAATAAGAAATTTTATTACAATGAGATACAAGTAATATTATATTGTAATAAAACATTAGACATATATCTCTTACTTAAGTGAATCACTGTGACAGTTTTTTTTTAATTTTTATTATTAATTGATAAAAGTTATTTTAGAAATAATAGAATCTATAACAGAATCATAATATGGATCCATGACAAGAGTTTTCAAATTATGTTTGTTAATTATTTTAAACATTTTTTTTTAACTTGATGCAAATTAGTGTGGTTATATAATTAAATATTTCCTATTTGCAGGGAGAGGCCTTGGAAGTATCATCTAGCGATGTAGTTGTAACAATAATTGATGCAAATGATAATGCTCCAATTTTTAATCAAGGCAGTTACAGCTTTACTATTCCCGAAGACACTCCACCTGGTTCAAATGTTGCTAACATATCAGCTATAGATTTAGATAGCGGTGAATTTGGGAAGATAGCTTACTCCTTGAAAGGATTTGGTACAAATAAATTTGGAACTGAATCATTTTCTGGAAACCTTTACCTTACTGGAAGTAAGAAATATAATCATGTTTATGTTGTTACATTAATAAAGTAACCAAAACATTCATCTGGCCTATCACTTTCGGGAATCCACATTTTATTTTTCTTAGCCCTGTTTCTAAAAAAAAAATAATATATTTTTGAATTCTAGATAGCGATACTATTTAAAATACCTTACTAATTTTTATTTCAAAAGAATTTAAAGAATATTTAATTTTTTTAACTTAACAAAGGTTTCATGGACATTTCATTTGGTTTAACCAGAGTTTTTATTTTGAAACTATTTTTTTGGGAAATTTTAGTTATAAAATCGAGCTATTAAGCTTGTGGAAATTAAGGTTTAAAGATTATCAATGATGTAGGTACACTTTGTAGTTCACTTTGAAGACTGCCCTTATTTGTGCAATTAAACGAAAAAATAATTCAAAAACTTTGTGCCCGTCAATCAGGGATGAATAATGGAAGAAAAAGATTTATCATTTCATCTGAGGAATAAGATGAATAATAAATGGTCTAGGAATCCTGAGCATCAAACAGGAGGGTGCCTGAGCTCTTGACTTGAATAATGTGCTGGAATATGCTTTTCATTCAAATAAAAAACAAGGATTAAAATAGAAATTTCTCATAGTTAATTATTATAGTAAATAAATGGCCATCCTATGATAATAAATTATAATTAAATGAGAATCTGTATTTTTGTTAAATACTTAGCTTAACTCATTGCGGGTTTTTAATCGAAATTTGTGATTGGGGGATCAATGGATGAATTAAATTAATGTTTCTGAACTATCTACTAGAACTGACCTCAAAGATATGGGTTTTTTTATCAATAAGGGATTAGGGAGCTAGGTGGCCAAACATATTAACACATGTGCAAAATGCATGTTGTATGGCAACCTGATCGATATACTAAAAATTATGCATTCAAATCTCGTTGCTAGGGGGCTTTTATCTCTGTCATTAATCCTAATCCCCATCCTCCTCTCTGATTCAGGAAAAACCCTGTATAGCTGAAAATCTGGGAAAGGAGAGAAAAAAAAAATCAATAAGGGATGGTTTTATCAATGTATAGTTATATGGATGGTTTTATATATATATATATATATATATATATATATATATATAGGTACTTATAGATGTTAGGAGTTGTATTTTAAAGGCTAGGAAATATCATTTAAATATTTGTGATTGTAGTAATTTTTCTAGAGATTTCACTTTCTTTTTTTTTTTTTTTAAATTACACGAATGTACTTTTGTAAATCATATCACATATTCTTGTAATTGTTCTTTTTTTTTTTTTTTTTTTTATCTCTGTAATTTTTATTGATTCTCAAGCAAAGATTTTTCATATTTTGTTTCAGAGGTAGATTACGAAAAACAAAAATCATATTCTTTGAGTATGGAAGCACGAGACGGAGGTGGACGGGTCAGTACAGTTTCTCTTCTGATTAGTCTCAGTGATGTTAATGATAACCCTCCAGAATGGGAGCTGTCACAATATCAAAGAACAGTTAGGGAGGGAGCTACTGTTTTCCAGCCACAATTTTTTATTAGAGTGAGTTTTTATTCGAGAAGTAATATTAAAGTATTCTAACATTATTAAAATCATATCTGAATAATAATATATTTGTATCTTCTGTATTTTAAATTATATAAATATACAGTATAATCATAATTTTTGTCATTGCTATGACTTTTATCAAAATAATTAATTAATATATAATCGATTAACAGGCCTTGGATGCTGATAAAGATGGAGAAAGCCAGATAACCTACAAAGTATTATCCAGCAATTCTGACATTTTAAGTGTTGACTACAGGACAGGAGAAGTACGCATAAATGCACCTGTAAGCTCTGAGCATACTTCCCGAGGGCAGTATGAGATGGTAGTTAGAGCTTTTGATGATGGTAAGTAATCATTACGAATATTTAACATGTTATTCTGTTTTATTATAGTTCACTGTCATTATTAAATAAGAAATTATATTTTAAATTTTGATGTAATAAATTTTAAGAATGTTATTGAATATGGGTTCTTAAACTTAAGTAGTCTGTGAATCTCAATCTTAAAGGATATTTGCTTACCATCCTAACCCAACCCTTGGCACTAGCCCACAGTTAAAGAACGTATTTTATGGAGGCTTAAAAATATGTACATTATAATTTTATTGATTTATAGATTATTCATGTTATTTTTGAAAATTAATTAGATATTATAGATTTTTAACTATCATGTAAATTCTGAATAATTCTTGGATCAAGTTCGACGAAGATATAAATAATACTAATAATAAAACTGATAAAAGAGTTTTTTAATATCCTGGCAAAATTTTATTTGCCATCTTAATGTTAGACCTGAAAAAGTTCCTCACTCCATTTTAACTCTCCAGATGACCTACAAACTATGGACATAACATTTTTTATATTATTGAAGAAACAAAATATAAATAAATGCACCTGTATTTTTACATGAATGGCATTATTATTTGGAGATTTATTTTAATTATAATTTGATTAAATATATATGTATATGTAAAATTTCTGTTAGGCTCTCCACCGCTTCATAATGATGTTCCTGTTTATGTCCGAGTTGGTGTCCCTGGCAATCAACGCCCTGTGTTTCGCGGTGTTCCATACAATGTCACCATTCCTGAAACAACAATTTCTGGAAAAGAAATTTTAACTGTTCGAGCAACAGACCCTGATGGACCAGATACAGCTATTCAGTATCGAATAGCAAATGGAGCCGATAATTTCCAAATTAATGAGAGGTATATATAACTACTGATTAACTAATTTATTATAACATTACTACTTTGGAATAATGGTTTTGCTTAATAGTTCAGGAGTGATGACAGTTTCTCAAGCAGCCATTTTAGATCCTGATGTTACCATGACTACTCGCTACAATGTTATTGTATTAGCAGTTGACAGTGGAGGACCTGTGAAGGAAACTGCTCAGACGACTGTCATTGTCAACATAAAGGACATTAACAACAAACCACCAAATTTCTCACCAAATGCCAATTATGTGAGACATATTTCAGAACGTACTGAAATCAGTAAGTTAAGCTTCAACTCAATGTTTTTGTAAAACTTATTCAATTGGTTTTTCATAGATGATCCTCAGAAATATTATTTTTTTCCTTTGAGAAAACAGAAATGTTTAATAAATTTTGAGACCCTAATAGATTTACACTTATTCGCAACATTTAGTAATAAGGAACATATTTTAGAAATTTTCTAATACTTCGAAAAACTCTTCTCGCCATACTCTCTAATTTGAATAGCAAATAAAAAAAAGACAAAAATAAAAATATAATGTAAAATGAAAATATTAAATTTATATAAATTATTTACTTTCTAGGAACACTTGACTTTCGAGAAATAATTTAAAAAAAAAAATTAAATGTGGTTTTGGCATAAATTATTATAATCGATGAAATTAAACTTAGCTTTTAAAAACATATTTTATTCTCTACTATTGAATGTGAATTGCATTTATGTCTGTGTTGAACATGTAAATAATTATTAATATCTATGTACATTATTATTTATTATTATATTTTTATATTTATAAATGATTCTTCATTTTTTTTTAAATTACCCAATTATTCATAGATAAGAAAGTTTTGACTGTGGAAGCTATTGATCCCGACCAAAATGCTGACTTAGAGTATACAATAATTGATGTAAGGGCTATTCATAAATCTGGTACTCCTGTTACCGAAACCCAAGTTTATGATTTTACCAAAGCTTTTATGTAAGTTTTTACATTTAATAAAAATTCAGTAACATGCACATACTGAGCTAAAGCTTTTTATGTCCCTGATATATTCACAAACCATTTTTTTTTTATATTAGAATTGATAAGAAGACTGGAGAAATCAAGGTAAATTCACACTTAAGTCATCAATCGACTGCTGTAATCATTTTGACTATTGAAGTAAAAGATAAAAATGCCGAAATGGATGCCGAGCTACAATATGCCAAAGGTGAGGTAAAATATTTGCTGTAAGTACTATTTGATTAACGTTATTATATCTGGTTTAATGTTGGAACATTAAAAAAAAAAGTTTTCTCCAATGACAATTAATAACTAACAAGTCAATATTTCTCTAGTTTAGTTCCAATTAGAACAATAAACTAAAAATTCACATTATTGCCGAATCTTCCATTTAATAAGCTGTTCTAGCTGCATTAGGTGGTTAAATCAAATAAACAAATTACTGGTTAAAAAAATATCTTCATTTGGTTATAGCAGCTTTGATGAATTAATATTATGTAGTTTTAATAGTATTTGACAGCTGATATTTTTGTAGATAGCAACAAAATATTGCATGTTGAGTGTATATTGTATGTTAAAGGCAGGGGTGCCCAGAAGGGGTTTTCATGGCGCAAGTTGCACCATCAAAATTTTTGAGAGAGGCATATTTTGATAAGTATTTGAATTTTTGAGGGGGACGAATTTTGACAGAGTTATAAATTTTTGGAGTATGGGACAAGGAGAAAAACATGGGAAATACAGCAGCAAGTATAATTGTATATGATCTAGGATTTTTCTAATTCTAGCTTAGCTTGCTCTGTTTTTAGGAAAAGGGATGAAAAATATCTTGAGGAAGGGGGGGAAGGGTAAGTTATAGTGCCATCGACCTTGGGTGTATGGGCACCCCTGGTTAAAGGTATATTGTATGTTTTGTTTTATTTTTTTTTTCTTAAAATATGGGTTGATAGTTGATATAAAGTCTAGCCATGAAATTTAATATTTAGTTATATATTCTAAATATAATTTTGAATGATATGTCTATGGCAGCGTTAATTTCATGAGGTATTGATCTAAAAATATTTTAATATATTACTGCAAAATGTTTTCTTATTCTTCTATTTGAATATCCTTTGATTCTTGAAGAGATTGTGGCTTATTGGGCATCTATACTCCAGATGACTCATCTCATAGATATGGTCTACTTGATGGACACATTGTTTGTATTGTTGACACATTTTTTCAATTTTTTTTTCTGAGACATAAAGAAAAGGAGAACTTTTTTTTGCCTGCAAGAGTAGTTGAGAGTGCCATAAGAGTGTAAAACAAATTCTCATTTTTCAAAATCTTATTTAATCATAAAATTTTACTGTTTCAGTGGAAGTTACTATCTATATACAAGCTTATGATGAGCAAAATCCCAAATTCACTGTGGGTACTTGGACCCCACTTGATCCGGTAATAGCTTTAAATATACAAGAAGAAAGACCAATTGGGAGTACATTGTTTGTTTTAACTGCAGTGGACCCAACTACCAGTGAATCGATTACCAAGTTCAGCCTGATACCTCCTCTTCCCTCGTTAGTTGGATTGGATGACTCTGGAGCTATAACAGTCACCAAAAGAATAGACTATGAATTTTTGAAAGAGAAAGTAAGAATTATATTTTTTTAATTTTTGTTTTTAGGACTGTACATAGATGAGAGTAAATTAAAAACACTTTATATTGAAATAAACATACAACCTGAAGTTAATATTTCTACAGATTGGAAGTTTGATTTCAAATAATAAACTATTCTTGGAATTGTTATAATGAAAAAATAATGACAATTTTTTGATTCCCATTGGTTTCTGATTTACTTGTTTACTTGTAGACAATTTCATTCAGAGTTGGCGCTACTTCCAATGACAACATGAGAGTTAGTGAAGCCCATATTATATTGAATATTGAAGATATCAATGACCATATGCCCGAGTTCAAAAAAAGTGTAAGTAAATTTTTAAAATAACTTAACAATCAACCATTTTAGTAATATTTTATTTTAAATTGGTAAACTCATAATTCAAACTTATATATTTAGGTCTATCATGGAAAGGTTGTTGAATCAGCAAGTAAGAATACTGTAGTATTACAAGTAGAAGCAGTTGATAATGATGAGTCAAATACCACTCTTGGTTTTGGCGATGTGGTATATTCACTATCCGGAGAAAATGCTGCTTTATTTAATATAAATGCCACTACTGGAGAGATTAAGGTATTTTAGTTATACTATTCGTAAAATCACAGCTTTATTGAATTTAGGATTTATCACTTTGAAAGTTGCAAATAGGTGTAATTAACATGTTATTTTGTAAAAAAGATAAAAATAAACATCAATTTCTGTTGCTATGAAATTCTAAAGCTTTTTAAACTTGGTTAAAATTAATGATAAATCTGGACAATGATCCTCAGCTTCAAGAATTTTCTCAAAAATATTTTTTTTATGTTACTCTTAGTGAAAAACACTATGTTATATTCAGAATCACTTGTAAATTTTGTTGAAAAATAATCATTTTTATTAGCAAAGTTTTATAAGAGTTTTGTCGGTTTTGTTTCTTTTTAAAACACCAACAATATTTTTAAAAATCATATCGTAATCATGAGCCTCTACGTAACAATGAATGCCTCAATAGAAGGCAAAAGACCACGTGGAAGGCCAAAAAGTAGATGGATAGATAGAATCAACAAAGATGCAACAGAGCTGGGTGCAGATAAATAAAAAGAAATAGTCTAAGACAGGCAGTGATAGAGTAGGCTTGTTAAGGTGGCAAAAGATCTACATGGTCTGTAAAGCCAACAGAAAAAAAAAATCCCATTGTATGGGGGATGATCTACCTAAAGTGTACATGCACTAGCACTATCATAAATAAAGTAATTCATTGTATTATTTTCTATATATATATATATATATATATATATATATATATATATATATATATAGTTATAGTATATCCTTGTTATTTGTAAAGCAGGGTGTAAAGTAATATTTTGTTATTAATTTTCTCTTGTTACAGGTTTCTGGAAATGGTACTATTGATAGGGAAAAAGAACCAGTTTTAAGATTAGTTGTAACTGCTTCTGATACACCACCGGGTGGTTCTAACCAGAGAAAATCTTCGGTAGCTGTAAGTGCATGAGCTGTTTGATTGCTGTTAATATATATATATATATATATATATATATATATATATATATATATATATATATATATATATATATATATTATTAGTTAGTTTATTAGTTAATATATATATATATATTTATTCTTCTTTTCTATCTTTTGTGTTGATTGAAAATCATAATTATTAAGTAAGCATGTTGATTACAAAAGTAAAGTTCTTCATTAATATGTTTTAATTTTTTAAAAATTATTATTAATAGGTTGTTATTGAGGTTGAAGATGTCAACGATAATCCCCCATTGTTCAGTGCAGCAGAGTATACCACTGTTGTCCTTGAAAATGTTCCTGAAGGAACATCTGTTGTTAATGTAAGTGCCACAGATTTGGACAGTGGAGAAGGAGGTATCGTGGAATATGAAATTGCTGATCAATCTGAAGCTGCTGGTAAGTTATTGTTCAAAATTTATCCATGGGAATTTTAAAAATCATTTTAATTGGTTAAAAAAATTACTTATGGTACATATCTGTTTAATTAATTAATTGTTAATTCCAGTAATAGTTCATTTTAATCTTTTTTTGTAAATTTATTCTCTACTTAAAAGAATGTATTTAATTTTTCAAAACATATTAAAAATAGTTTATTAATTCAGAAGAGGTTTTGAAATATAAGGAATAACGATGACAAAACATTTTTATAAAACATTTAAATGCAGCTCGTGGGAGGGTCTTTAAACCATGTTAGTTATGTTTACAAGTGAGATATAGGAAATGTTTTCTTCGACTGATCGCCATTCTTTCACTACCTTACTATTTTATAAATTTCATATTATTGTAAACTTATATTTTCTATTTAATTATGCTTTAGGTCTCTTTAAGATAAATCAAACAACAGGAGAACTGAAGACAAATATTGCACTTACCGGCAAAGGAAGGACTGAACCTTACATTCTTAAGGTTAGGGCTCAGGACAAAGGTTCTCCAATTCTTTTTTCTGATGTATCATTAAAAGCTTTTATTGGCGATGTTGTCACAAATGATGGTATTCCATACTTCATCCATCCAACTGTTAACGAAACAGCTTACATATCTGAGGTTAGTCAACTTTTTCTAATTTCTAATTTCGCTTTTTTCTAAACTTTTATATTAATTATATTATAATTAATTTATAATATAAATTTATATTATAATACTTTTATATTAATTTTACATTAATTTATATTTATATTTATATTAATTTTATATTTATATTTCTAAATTTTTATATTAATAAAATATATAAATTATATTTGACATCAAATTTCTTAGGTAAGTGTTAGTTCATATAATGATTGAATTAGAAAAAAAGGACTTCATTTGACATTTTTAACCTTGTTTAATTGTTAGAACCAAGGTAAGGGTAAGCATGGGTAATAATATGTATAGATCTTATTTTATTAGCTAATTAATTTCTAAAATGTGATAATAATTTCATACCCATACTTCTTTTTCTTATTCCTTCTAACACCCAATCTGACTGATTACATACACAGTTAATTAAATACTAAATAGTAAAGATTAGATATGCATCATATAATTTAAATTTTGTTTTATTGAAAATATAACTAAATTAATTTCTTTTAAATAAACTTATTATGATACAAATTTTCTTGTTTTCTAGAACACTTCTATTGGAGCTCCTGTTTTCCGAGTGGTTGCCTCTGATCCTGACAACCCTAATTCACCGGAGGGACAAGTTCGCTATAGCTTTTTACAGGACGGAGCTGATTCGTTGGCATTTAATATTGGTAAGTTATGTTTTGATCCCGTGTTGTTACACATTGGTATTGTATAATGTAAAATTCTTATTTGGTTATATTTATAATTTTTTAGACCTGGTCACTGGTCTTATCACTACTCGGGAAACTCTGGACCGTGAAAAGAAGAGTAATTATTCACTTATACTTGTTGCTCAAGATTCAGGCTTGGTTCCACAGCATACTACAAGGCAACTGAACATTACTGTCAGTGATATTGATGATAATAAACCCATGTTTAAGAGATCCATTGTAAGTATATCTATAACTATCAATGATGTAGGGATGGTTGACCATGATATAATATGAGAAGGAGTTGATCGGGGGGTGCAGTCAAATAAATACTGAATTATAAAAATAGTATTATTTATAAATTATAAAATAATATTATTATTTAATAAAATAATATTATTATATTATAATAAATTAGAAAAATAGTATTACTAAAGTATAATTTAGTATTTATTTGACCGCACCCCCCTGATCAACTTCTTCTCATATAACTATTAATGTTAGATTTAGAGTTTTATCAATCTATTTATATTAGTTTTATTAATCATGTCCTATTTGCAAAAAATGCTATAGAGTAGCTTTGGCAAAACTATCTTATAAGTCATGGTAATCTGCCACTCACTAAAACTCAAGATCAAAAATCAATACCTAATACTGTTGCTTTATATTTAGGCTAAAATTAATTATTTTAATATATTTTGTATTTTTTTTAAATTTCATACAAGTGGCGATGATCGGTACTCTCAATGCTCTGAGGCTGCCACTGTCCTTATGAACTGCTAATATGTATTTGTTATATTGTAGGTAGCCATGTATTTAACTGTTTTCTCAAAATTTAAAATGAGAATGTACTTAAATTTAACAATTTTTATAGTTCTTACATATGATTGAATGTATAACAATTCTAGAATCCTGCTATGTTTATTCAATTTTGTTTGAAATTTTTATTGTTAAATATTTAGTATAAATCTGTGATCATTGTATTACTATCATCTTACCGATTAATGTTTATCCTTTAGGATGAAGAACCACTTGAGTTCAATATTGATGAAGAAGTCAGTCCTAACACTACTATTGGGATTATTCAAGCTTTTGATGCAGATATTGGAGAAAATGCAAATATTGGCTATCTTATAACGTGTAAGTTTACTATATTTATTTTTTTTTTTAAGTTGTTTTCTAGTTTCTTATTAATTAATTTTGTTTATTTTTTCTCAATTTCTTTGCTCCCTGCTTCATATTATTTACTAATATCTATTAATAATTTAAAAATAGAAATACCTCATTAAAAGTCAACATCTTTTTAATCGCGCGTGCTTTTTGGAAGAAACAAACTGTAGTAATTCAGTTAACAGCTTTACTTTGTGCTTTTCCTATTTCATGAAAATGCATATGTTACTTTTTATTAAAATGATGTTACAGTTATATTTTAATTTTTCTTATTATTATTTTTTTTAGTTGGAAATGAAGATGGCTTATTCTCTTTGAGACGTTTAGAAAATAACTCAGCTCTTCTTCTTGTTAATGGAAGGCTAGATCAGGAAATTGCCAATGAACATTTGCTAACTTTGAAGTGCTTTAAATTATCAACAACGCCTCAGAACTTAAGGAAAGCTTATAATCGTGTGGTAATTAAAAATAAATTATTCTTATTTTTTATGAGAATAAGTGTATTCACAAATATACATACATTTATTTATTTTTTTATCAAATACTACCATTTTAAGATATAAGTTTTTAATTTATTTATTTTTAATATTTATTCTATTTCCTGCCAAACAAAAATCAGGGGCTATTGTGAAGTTAATTCATGTTATTATATTATATTTTTCTTTAGCTTTTATTTTTATAACACAAAACATTGACTAATTATTTTGTCTAGTTTTGAGGTAAATCATTTATTAATAAATTATTAAAATTTGTTTGCCCTTCAAATCTAATAACAAACCATGCTAAATATATTTTTAAAAAATGTCTTATTTTAAGGCATGAATTAAAAAATAAATTATTTTTGGTGCATGTATACTCATTTCATAAAATTCATTTATTAAGACAAAAAAGTTTTGTTTTATTTTTATATTAATGTTATATTAATAAAGTGCTGTATTTTAATTTACAGGACCTTAGTGAAAGACAAATTAAGATTAATATTAATGACTTGGATGATAATTTACCAAGATTCATAAATAACAACATCACAGTAGGTTAGTATTATTTAAATTCAATACTTAAATATAATAATAAATAAAATTTCACATTCTCTCAATTTTTTCTCTTATAATTTTTTCTACGTTCACTCCTTTTCAATATTTTGCAATAGAAATTCTAACTTCCATCTTTTTTGTCACAATAATTTCATCTTTCCATTTTTTCACCTCCTTTCCACTTAGCAACATTATAAACCAAGAAAATTAAAATATGTTCACAAAATGAATTTTATTTTCATTAAAAATATCAAATAGTTTCTTTCTATATTATTCAAGGTTTTTAAAACCTCAACAACATGTGATAAGTATTCCATTGTAACCATAGCATCTAGGTGACTTAACAAGAATCAGATTGGAAATTATTTCGAAAATGATCAATTTTAGGGTCTTAAAATATTGGGGCTGGTACATTCCAAAGGAATTTCATTGAGTCTTCATGTATGTATCAAAAATATTAAAATATAATTTATCTCATCTCAATTCGTCTCCTTAGCATCATCAGAATTTTAAAATCTCCTACTTGATGTAAAAAATAATATGATTTATTCAAAGAACCTTAAAATATGTGTGCGAAAACTCTTATATTAGATATATATCCAACTTCTCCATAATATATTTGATGTAAAAAGGATAATAGGAAAACATTTTTTTTTTCAAATAAAGAATAATAATTAGTAATTAATAGCAATTAATTTTTAAAAAGGTGGACAAGTTGAACTGCACTAACTAAAGAGGAATAGAGCTGCTGGTGACGGTTTGTAAAATCCACTTGATTGCTAGAAGTAAGAGATTTGCATCATGGGAAGAAAGAATTTGTGGAGACTAACAATTTGGCTTCAGGAAAAATATATCAACTGTGGATCACATCTTTTCTGTCAGACAAATGTTAGAGAAACAATACAAACATAACCTGGTTGTGCACCAAGTCTTTGTAGAGTTTAAGTTGGCATCACAGACTTATATAGCCTATACAGTCATAGACAGAAAGGAATTAATATGAACTATAGTAATGCTAGAGGTTCCTGAAAAATTGATTGTTTTGATAAATATCACGTCAAGAGCTACGGAATGTAAAGTAAAAATCCAAAATGACCTCTCAAATAGCTATGAGGTAAAACATGGCTTTATGCAAACAGACCCTATTGCCAATACTTTTTGATCTAGCTTTAGAGCAAGCTATTAGAGCAATGAGGACCAATCCTGGAGGGACAATTGACTGATACAATGTCTTGCATATGTGAAGGATATTCTTACCAGAGCTCACAAATAAGACTCACTTATCTGTAAATTAAAACTAATCCAGTTTTAAACTCATTCAGACATATTGGATAGGTGAAAAATAAGAGAATTTTACTTTTGTAGTTCTCTTTCTTAATAAATACAAGACATTACTTCTTTTTTTTTGTTTTTGTTTAATCCACTGCCCAAGAATATGAGAAGGATTCTATATTATGGCAATTAATACTGCAATTTGAACCATCATCTTAACAACCTAGTTTTTTTGTGACTTTCATTGAAGCTGTAGAATGAATTTAAGGATTGAAATTGGGATTTGTCACTTCTCCATGAAATATCCTTTCTTGACCCATGAAATTCCTTCTGACACTTATTTTGTCAAAATCATGATTGTTGAAAAAGGGTATCTATTCTACTGTATTATAGCAAACTATGTTAAATATATCACTTTATTATAATACAATTTTGTACAATTTTCAGGTGTTAGAGTTAATGTTCCCCATGATACCCTTCTTTACACATTAACTGCAGTTGATGATGATGCAGATGCTCGACCCATCATTTATTCGATAGAGAGTGTTGAATTCAGTCTTCCTCCCACTTCACACCGAGAGGTTAAAAGCAATTTTTCAATATTCTCTGCTTTTGTTTTGGATAATAGTACTGGAGAGCTAAGAACAGCAGCTAGTATGTCAGATTACTATGACGGACATTTCACAATTAAAGTTGCTGCTTCTAACAGAATGACAAATGAAAGTTCTTTTGCAACTGTGAAGGTATAGAATATCAATAGCATATTTTATTTTATTATAGTTTTTTAAGAGATTCCTAATTTAATTTTTCTTTTTTTAGATTTTTGTTGTGCGAGACCGAGGATTGATGAAATTTATATTTGGACTGCCTCCCAACGAAATAAGGGCCAATCTAGAGAAGTTTAAAAAGGATGTTGAAGAAGCTCTGGATGTACCTGTATCTTTAAATGTCTACGACACACAATTCTTCGCTAAATCAGATGGAAGTCTGGACTTTAGTTCCACAAGGTAATTCATGAATTAAAATTTAATATATTTTATGCTTGGATGTTTTTCTGAATATTTTTTTCTGGAAACAATCCCAATGGATTATTTTATGAAATCTGTTATAGTTCTTGTTTCCAACTTGTGGGAACACATATGTTTGATGTGAAAGAAATGGAAAGAATAATGTCGCCGTCTGCAAATCCTGCAGTTGATAAAGTTTACCAAAAACATAATGTATTGGGTGTGCAGGTAATATCAAACTTTTTTTTTATATTAATAGTTTCAATATCATCAAAGTAAAATTAAATCAATTGAATAGAATTGATTTACTTTAGTGTATTTAGATCTTAAGAATTAATTTTAAAAAAATATTCACTATGTTACCTCTTCATATTTTTATTTTTTTTACTCTTCTTTTGGCATATGCTAAGATTCAATTCAAAATCTTCCTATATCATCACTAGTATTGTTTAACTTTTAGATTCTTTTATTTAATTTACTTGTTTGCTATATTAATTTTAAAATTTATCAAAAAGATACATTGTGTCTCCTGCCATATTTCAACAAGAGCCTTATTTAATTGCTACATGTTTTTCTGGTCACTTCTTAAAATGAAATTTAGATATGGAGCAGCTTGTATTTCAATTGAGAAACTGGATATTTTATTTTATTGTTTTAATAAATTAGCTAAATCACATTTGTAAAATATAAAAAAGGATTTTTTATTTATTACTAATAAGAACGGAGCTAACAGCATATTCTTTTGTTAGTATTCTAATCTTCATTATTGAATAATATCTTATTCTTATATCTGTGACACCTGTGAAAAGTATGTTAAGTGCAATTTTGTGAATTCTTTTGTATTTTGTCTAGAAATTTAATTTTTCTTTCTTTCTTTATGCCTGATGTGCTAAGTTATGTGGCTTTTATAGATATGAACATTTCTTTGTAAATCATGGGTTGAAACTCAACAATTGAACTTGGACCTGTGAAAATTCCAAACTTTCAATTGCGTTTTTCCATACATATTTTTTTGCACTTAACACAAAAAGTATGCACAAGTGCCACAGATATTAATCATATTACATTATTGATATTATTATATTAATTAGTGCTGATTTGATGTTACGGGATTTTCAGCGTTGTGCTCCCAGCTTGGCCAAAGCTGAAATTACATGGGTTCAACTCTGCCTTCTAGGCATTGCCTCCTTCATAGGTATTGCTTCACTCATCTCAGGCTGTGTTCTTTGCTGTTCATACAATAAGTACTTGATTTATTATTTTTATTATTAATTGTAACAATGATGAGTTTAAAAATTACTAATGCATTCACTACTTTCAGATGGCAGAGGATACGATGATTTTTAAGACTGTATCGTTGCCATTAATAAATAATACCACCAATCAAAGAAAACTATCATGATATGCATAATCAAAGTTTCTATAGTTAGATAATAAGAAAAAATGTGATATCTTTGTAATATAATGATTTTAGACTAATGAGAATGAAAACCATATTTTAATAAAAGTGTACATACAAATAAAAATGTATATTGTTGTTAAAATTGTTATGTATATACATTTATGTAAATATAACTTTATATTAATGTATTGATAGATTAAGATATTTCATTACCATTGAGATTTTTCTCCAAATTATTTATAAAGTAGGTTGTTAGATATGTTTATTTTTATTTTATTAAAAAATCACCAGTTTGTAAATAATGTTTTTTTATGAATAAAGAAAATTGTATGATATATATTTTAAAAGTGATAATTTTTTTAATCTTGTTAATTTATTCCCCCCTTATTTATTATCCCCTTTCAACCTGATATGATATGTAGAACAGTCGACTAACTTCCTTTCAAGAATTCCTTTTCTTTAGTAATATTTGGATTTTATTTCATTCAATGTGCCTCCAAGTCAGACACCATGCAGTATTTTTATAAAGAAAAGATAAAATGAAGTTAAACCATTATATTCTACTTATTTAGAACACAAAAAAGAAGGTTTAAGGAAAAATGTCCATTTCACGTCATTTTTTGAGTACCTGGCCAATTAAGGGCTAAAAAAATACTGCTTTTTCAAAAATTTATTATGTTATCTCTAATCATTGTAATTTCCAATCTAATCATTGTGGAAATTGATCCTTATGATATAAAATGTTACAAACAACTTAAAATCACCTTAGATAATAAATATTTGAAAAAACAGTATTTTTTTAATGATAAAAAGTGTATTTTCATATTGAATTTACTTTAAAAGATGTCAGGTCACAAAAAAAAGAAAAAAAAAAAAAAAAAAAAGAAGGAATTAAAACTTTATATTAATTTCTTGGTTGTTATGTTTGTTAAAAATACAGAATATCAAATCACATAATTTTTAACACAACTAAAGAAGATTTGATAAAGAAAAGGAAGCTTAAGAAATAAATTTAATTTTTTGGGAAGAGATGATTTCAATGTGGGGTGGCCTCAAACGTCTAAGTCTGGAACTAATTTAACCAGAGCTTCAGAGCTTCTCAACTCCCCCAAGGTTGACGGCACATGAACCTCTTCCCTCTTCCAAGATATTTTATTGCTTTCCTCTTCTTTCTTAAAACTAGTGCAAGGGAATGTGAAATTTAAAAAAATAGTAGATCATATACAATTATACTTGATAGGGTCTGTTCCATGTTTCCCCCTTGTCGCCTGGTTTAAAACTTTTCATTCCCAAAATTCACGATGGTGTTGAAATTTGCCCGCTCAAAAATTTTGATGGCACAACTTTAGCCATGAAACCCCCTTCTGGACATCTATGGATTAAGCTGTTTCTCCTACTCTTGAAGGAATCGGTGTTTCAAAGATTGGTTGGGAAAACAGTTCAGTTGTTTAAAAACGATAGTAATAATAATTATTTTAAAATAAATTTTCTTTTGTATAGGATAAATCTTTGGACAATATAAGATAAAATTACTCCAAAAATTAAAATTTTCTTTATTCTTATGTGTGCATATGCATAGAAACATTATAAAATGCGAGCAAAAATGATTTCTAGCTTTGTTGTTTTTATATTTTACTACAGAAGAGGGAAATTTGCAAACAACTGCTGACATTTTGCTGAAATTCTCTGGGGTTGTGAGAAAGGAGTGAAACAGGCAGTTTCATGGTCTCCCTGCTACAATTAATACAATTGTAAGAAACCGATGTTTATCTATTTAGAAAAAGAAGAAATCGATATCAGTTTCGAATATAAAGTAAATAAGTTATTGGAATAAGGCTCCAAGAGGGTATAAATAAAATCAAGATACTAACTGCTCATCTGAGTATAATTCTTCTTAAGATCTTAAAATCATAATTGAATATATATCACTATCACTACAAAAATTTATGCTGGAGTATTATTTATATTTCAACATAAGTTAATAATTTCCATGATCATAGAGAGGTTTCAATTCTTGACTAAATTTTATTTAATATTGTTGTATTTTGAAATGTTTTTAAAAAATAAACAATATTTTTTCAAGTTCAAAATTAGGAAATTAATTTCTATGTAAGTGAAATAAGGATGAGTATATTATTATTATGAAAGCCTTTATATAAACCCAGATTAGATTTTTGTAGCATTACTGCCCCCTAGTGGAATTAAAAAAAAATAAAAACACAGATATTTAAATAAAATAATATTTTGATTTATAATACATTGTTCTATAAATTAATTAAATAGTTAGTATATATATAAATATCGATTAAGTTACGATCGTAATATCGATGGGCCAATACCGATCAGTTCTCGAGAGTTAAGTGTCCGGTTTAAATCGCTTGAGTTATTTAACTACATTTGGAGCCAGGTAATTTACTTATTTTCATTTATAGTATCATATTTTAAGTGTAAAAATAAGAATAATTGCTGTTTGCAGTATTGCGATTATATGTCTTAAGGTGAATCAATTATTATTCATTTTTCTTTCTTATTTTAAAGGAAGATTGGCTAGCGGATGTGAGATACGGCAGCCATTATAGACGAGGTAAAAATTGAAGTAAATGATTAATTGAATATTTTCACATTCTTAGGGACACCATTATTTGAATTTGATTACATTTCTGATTAAATATATTATACAAAGAGGTAATATAATCATATTATATTGTGTTTAATGTATTAGAGCCTTGAAGGAACAATTTTCATATTTGAATACTTTTTCAAAAGATAGTTTAAAAATCTTGATCATGCTTATCAAACAAAAAAAATCAATAATCCGTATTTCATTTATGAAAAACTTTTCATGATGTAAAAGATATGTTTTTTAAAAGTTCGTGAATTCATTATTAGAAACTTGTATAGTTTGAAACTTCTTATATTTATTCTCTCAGGAGACGGATAGTTTGGGATGGCAAGATGGATGCCATAAATGTAATATTGCGCCAATAATTAATGCCTACGTGTAAGAGAATTAAACCAGAACAATGGGTATGACATTTAAGAATATACTTAATTTAATTTTTAATATTAAAGTTTTTCTCTTTAATATCAATAATATATACCAGAACTGCCTTAACTTGATTTTTGTTAACATTATAATATTACAAATTTCGCCATTGTCTGTGTTAAATTTTAAAATTAACATTGAATGTATCGCGTATATTTAATTCATTTTATTAGTTCATTATATTTATAATTGTTAGAGTACAAAATTAAGTTTAAAAAAAAAATAATCTAGCTGAAATTCTTTTTCTGAGTTGTGTACGAAATTCAGGGATATAAAAGATCTAGACAATGTTTTGGTAGGGAATCAAATTATCCCTTAATTGCATCAGCTAGGCTCATATCCTGCTCCAGCTGCCAACGGTTTTGTGCAATATTTTTCTTTCTAAAGCTCTTGCAGCTTGTTCACTGTTATAAATTTCGTATTGATTTATGATTATTTTATATCGTTATTCCATTATTTTAATAGTTCATACCTGTAATTCATAATTACATCTTGTCTATTTGTCCAGATCAGCGTTTTTAGTTTAACAATTGAATCTGAAATCAATCAAATGATTTATATTCACCGATGTGGAAATCAAATGATTTATATTCACTGAAGTAGTTTTACTATATAATCTTTTATATTTGTTAAAAATAGTTGAAGGTGTTTAGATTAGTTTTGATTGACTATTTTAATTTTAAATTAAAATTCATTATATTTTATTATTATTATTATTATGGAAGTTAATTTATAATTTTATTTAGCTTAATTTGTAGTTTTGACTTATTGTAGTGATTAGTTGCTTTTTAAAAGATGTTTAGTCTGTATCAAACACATTATTTTTCAGGACATTATTAAACAAAACAAGGGTCATATCTGGTTAACAGGTTGGTAAGGGTCACATTGATTATACATGATGGAATGTCAAAACTATCCGATTATGTACAATAAATGTCCAAATTATCCAATCATGATAGGATTCCTTCAATTCCTTCAATAAACTGAATAAGCATGTTTATCGATAGAGTATGTTACAGTAGACATAGACACTTTCAAAATTACATTCAGTGTAACTAATATGGTCTTAGTCCACTTCTTGACCAGGCGTGATATTTGTGAACTGTTACCCTGGGTTATAATAATTTATATGTATAGAACGGATAATACTAGTTTCATCAAGACAGTTTAAAACATTGTTAAGTTGATTCTTAATTTCATTTGTTTGAATTGAATTTTGGAAACTTCTAAGAATAAATAATTCATCAATATTCACAGTTTTATTATTTATTTTTCATAATATTTTAAGTTTTACACTGAAAAAGTAAGAGAAGAAAAATACTTAGTGAACATTTACCATATATACTTCCAATTTAGTGATTACCACAAGCATACATTTATTTGTTTAAGTACAGATAATGAACAACTTTTTTTTACACAAACAATTTTAAATACACCATATTAATCTACCATCTATCACTATGTAATGGGTAATACAATGGGTTTTATTTACATAGATATTTTGTTTGGGAATGGAACAGAAGGGAAGACAATTCAAATCTAAACTCTAAGGCAATAAGACTTTTCTACATACAGCTTACAAAAATATCCATAATTTCTAGAAATTTGACAGAATTTTACCTCAGATTTTAAAATCAAATCTTTCAAAATATTTTCACTTACTAATATAGCTATCAATGTTATTAAAATTTCTAATGATTCTTGCAACAATAATATGACTAGTTACTTAAAGTGTATGTTGGAATTTAATGTTTGGCCTTCCATTTTACATTTGAGCTGCTATAGATGCCACCATCAGTCAAAGTTTATTTCTTAAAAAAAAAATGAATACAAATAATGAGTTGATAAATTAAAATTTTAATATTATGTATTGTGATATGTGTATGATTAATATAAATGTTCAACACATATAGAATCATATTTACATGTAGTGATTATATACAGTTGACATAAAAATGAGTAATTTTTTTTTTTTTTTTCAATGTCCAGAATCCCCTGGGTTAATATTATAAAAATAGCTATAACTGAATACCAAAAAATTATTGTTTTTTAAAAATTCAGTTTTTGACTAGTGTATAGACTAGATTAAATTATTAATATTTTGTAACAGATTGTTTATAAATGGACCAATTAAGTTCATATCCTATGACAGCATTTTGATAAGCATTAGTAATTCTTATCTATTTATCAATAGCTCAAATTATAATCATTGTTTCTGTAAATCGTAGAGAGTTAATATTGAACATTATTTTTTATATAGTAACGAACAAAGTATACAATATTGTACAATATCTGTCGAAAAAAAAAAATTTATCTGTGAAAAGAATGATCTCCATTTCCTATGAAGATCAGCTTCATCAATCATTCCAGTATCTTTATTCCATTTCTCTTGAAATAATGCAAGGTGAAGTAACTGAATAATTGTTTACCTTATTATTATAATGGTGCTCTTTTATTCTTGTTCTTTGTAGTTATCTTTATTTTCTTAAGTGTTCATAATTTACTAATGCCATGCTTACCTGTAAAGTGATTTCAATTTTTTCTAGTTCTTTACATTTTATACTCATAAATTCTGTTTTTAGTTTCGTGTGACATATTACTAATTATATTTTATTCAATGTGATATTCATAAAATATTTACAACTTCGGGAAACATACTAATTTAAAATCAATAACTGGTTATTCAATACAGCTTCCAGTGCTTAAGTACACTATAGAAAAGGTTTTATACAAATATGATTATTTATCAAGTAACACAAAAATATAGCTCTTAAAAGAAGATTTATTTACATTTTTATCTTCTATAAAGTGAAATAAACTATTTGAAATTTTTACCTACTTTTAGTTAAATATTAATCACAAAAAGTAGGAAAAATAAAATTTCTTCCCTATTGGATTATGTATGTATTTATGCTGATTTTCTTAATACAACATTTTTTTTTTTATTTCTATTCACTTCTAAAAAGAATACATCTTTGCAAATTATTCTAGTTAAAACATTAATGATTAATTACAACTTTTAATTAAATTCGTAGCTTTAAAAAATAAATACAAATAGGAAATATTTAGAACATTATTTACACAATACAACTTAAATATACTTTGGTATTATTTTGCCTGCATCATTTTGAAAAAAATGGTTTACACTTTTAAAAGAGATACAGACAAAGTTGCTGGCATTCCATTTTTCATTGTTGATGCTCGTTTCCAGTCAAATCGAGAACTTTCAAATCCACTAAGTTCCCTCGTGAGTGGATCGCCCCTATGCTTTTTTTTAATGCATGGTGCTCTCAAACGAAGCTGAAATTCTCTTTTAAATTTTTCCTATAAAAAAAAAGAATTTTTATTATTAAATGTAAAAAAATAAGAGAGAGAGGGAGTGTTTAGTCAATGAAGGAAGCAATTTGATGAATAAAACTTAATTTTAATGTGTGCCAACATTTCAGCCATAGTTGTTGGCCTTCATCAGAGGGATTACAAATAATAATGAAAAATATAATAATAGAAAAGCTATTAGATATTATTTATTGAATTTATTTTTTCTTGTTCTAATTTGTTCTCTTGAAGATAATATTTTTTATTCCAAATACAATTAAAAACAAAAACAAATGGAACATGGTATTTCTCCATTACCCTTCATACGTGTTTTACATAGCTATGGTTTATACTCCTTATATATAAGCTGATTAACAAATACTGATTTAGCCTGAAACAGCATTTATTTCACATTTTCTTTATTGCATCTTTGAAATTAAATTTATGCTTTGATTTTCTAACAAACATAAAATAATAAAAATGTTTGTGAAAATAGGCTAGAAGCTGTTAATGGTCTATTTAAATATGGATGTTCATCTAAAATGTAATCATGAAATTGATCATATTAAGAATCTATAAAAACTAATATACTAATAAATTGCTTACATTATATATAGCATAAACAAACGGGTTATAGCAACTGTTACTCATCGCTAGCCAGTCGAATCCAAACCAAAATATATTGATGTATTTATACCTGAAACATTAGAGCATATTTGTAAAATGATGACTATTTTAATAAGTATATAGGTAATTAGATATAGCAATACTTACTCATTTATGTCAGTAATGTTTTGTAGTACGTTATAAGTCTGAAGTGGGAGCCAACAGAGAGCAAACAGAACTACAACTATGACAAGCATCTTAATCACCTACAAAATAAGAAATTATTAATTTTTAAAAATTATATTGGCAATTTCAGTTCATAGCTTGTTAGTTTTCAATAAATTTGAACTCATTCATCTGGCTGGATTACTCTGTAACATTGATAAACTAAGGAACTGCATAAAAGCTGGCTATCCAAAACAATTCTCGCTATTACCTATATTTTTGTGGCATCCCTTTTTATTTTTTTTCATAGAAATTACTTACATTTTTCATAGAATTTATTAATTTTGAATCCTTAATACCACTGTTGGCAAACATCTTTATTAAGTCCAAGCTTGTTTATTTTCTTCTTCTGAAAAGAAAGTAGTAATTTTTCTCTTCTCTGTATTTTTAAAGAAAGTAATGCATTATTATACACATGTTATCTGGATCAAAATTTGATGTTTTAAATTTGTATTTAAAAAAAAAAGTTTTTATAATTTCAGCTTTTTAAAAAAAAATATTATTTGTATCCTCATTTTCAAGAAATGATAAAGTTTTTAATACGTAATCAATAATTAACCATCAAAGAAGTTTTTCCACTGATTTTACCACTCTAACGGTTATTTTAAGTGCTTTTAAAGTATTTTTCAGCTCAGTATAAATATTTGTACATTGAAATTTCCTACAGTTTCATTTTTTTCAAATATCACCTCAGTGAAAATTACAGTATACCAAATCAGTGTCCTGTGGATTCAGCCTTGGCCTTCTTCTTCCTTGGTCTTTTTCAACTCTCCCCTCCTTTGAAAACACTAAAGAAGAGGAATTTCATGTTTCTATCTGTGAGATAACACAGACTAAAAGTCATCAAAAAAGGCTGACCAATCTTGTTCTGTAAAATCTTTTTCCAGTAGAAGTGTTTAGGGAAGAGAGATTTGGTCTAAGAAAGAAAAAAATTTAAATTTATTTAAGATTCCCTTGATTTCTGTGGGCTTAGGCTTCAGGCGAAGTTTTTTTGGATTTGCATGCTACCCATAACAATAGTTTTTCATCCAAACAAGTCCCTATTTTGTTTCTCTCCTTTGTTCTTTATTAATATTTTCTTTTTAAAATATGCCCCTTATCAATGATTCAGATGTTTCCACCAGAAACTTTCTCTCAATTTTAATAATTTATTATTTACATAGATAAAATCGATTAACTTTTAACCAGTGATTTTTTAATGTTTTATAAGATAATTGTTCTTGTAATTAATACATTACTTATGACTAGTTAAATTTATTTTTATATAAAGTCAGTCACTCTAAAACAATTTTTTGAATAGACTTTACTATTGAAAATAAAATTTAATTTTATGAAATTTAAGCCATAAATGCAATAAATAAATTTGTCTGAAGAAATTGTGACAATAGAGATTCACAATTGTTTGTCATATATGTGAGAAATATATGATCATGATACCTTTAATACCTTTTTCTTATTCCTCATGATGTTTGAGTCACGATCAGACTGTGCGTTACCGGGAGCTGTGGATCCCCAAAGTGTGAGAGCTACTCTTGCATAAGCATAACTTATGACGATCAGTGGCAAGAAGTATTGCAAGAGTACAAGGGTGGTTCTATAGCTCTCGTACAGTTCTGGCGGCATGTTCATGTTGTCGCAGTAGTCAAAGATTAGTTCAGCTGTCAACATAAACATTCTATTTAACAAGAATGATTTAAAATATAATAATATATGAAGTTCTAAACAGTGAGAGAAAATGGAAATTTTTCTTCAGCATTTAATCAATAAATATATAAGTTTCGAACAAAACAAATTTTTTTAAAAATTTCTCTCACCTCAAAAATGCATGTGAAATTAATCATTATAATCTTAGAAAATAATTTGTAATATTTAAATACTTAATTTATTTTATTAATGTTTGCCTTTTTTTTTCTTCCATACCCCTTAACTTAAATAATTTAATTATAATGTTTTAATGTTTATTGAGGTGATACACTATGCCATTCGAAAACAACTTTTAGATTCTGAAATATAACGGATATTAAATTTTTCTTCAGAATTTTTATTTATTAAAGAACTATATATTTCTGTTAATATTTTAAAGTATAACGAGAAAAGCATCAAAACAAAAATATATTTAATAAATTTAAATTTAGAATCATTTCATTTAAGTAATTTTTTTCAGCCTTTAGCCTATAATAGATTTTGATGAAGTATCTAGTTTCCATTTCTAAGAAGTGGCAAGTTCTAAAGGTTCTACAGATTTAAGCAGAATATCCACATAGCAGAGGATATTTAATTTAAAAATTTTTTAATAGATAAAATAAAAAAATATAAAAGGGTTTAACTGTCTGAATCTGATTAAATGAATGCCCATCATGGAGACACGACAGGTAATCAAAATGCCTTTTGAAGATGTTTTGCGAGTTAGTTTTCAGTTTCATATTGTCGCTATCTATGTGTGCTCTCACTTTAGTTTGATATCTGTCTTCCACCTTTGTGAAAACTTTTGATTATAATGAAAGACGCTCCATCGGACCGTTTATATATCAGCATTTTGTTTTATCTTTAGAGAATATAATAATAGTAAAGTTTAATGAACCTTGACTTTACCAATGAAAATAGTTTCATGCATACTTCCATTCATTAAATCCCATCAAAACGTTGGTCTTCAAGATAAACCTTACTATTTGCCTTGAAATAAAATAATGATAACAGTAACTGTAATGTCATATTTAAAAATAATAGGATAGGTATGGAAAGACATACCTTAGATATTAGTTCTTTTTCTTAATATATTTGAAGCATAAATGATATTAGGTTAATATTTTTATTATATAAATAGTGCATTATTTTCAAGACAGTATAATTAACACACACGATTGGTGATTTAATTAAATATCTATATTTTATAATATTTATCATTATATTTACTTAATAAGTAAATAGCTTGCTCTACAGAAAAATATCTGTTGAGTTAAGCAATAAGATTCATTAATCTGTAAATTAAAACTAACTCAGTGTTGTACTGTAGAACAAAGTGGTACTGTGTAAGTACTAGTAGTATTATGTAGAACAACAGTAGAATCCTTGGTTGGAACAAAGGCAAATTTTGTCTGGTCATCGGGCCATATAGGTGCTAAAGGAAACGAAATGGCCGATAGAGCAGCAAAAGATGTTCTTATCCTTCCTGGCTGTGGCAAGGCTTTTTTTGACAGCATCTGAACTTGCAGTACCTCTAAGAGAAACCATATTCCAAGAAAAGAAAAGACGGTGGGACAACAACACACCAAGAAAACTAAAGACAATAAAGAAAGAGGTGCAACCATGGAGCAGCTCCAAACACAGCAATCAAAGAGAAGAAGTCGTCCTCATGCATCTGAGGATTGGACATACCAGGCTGACACACCTTCAGCTCATAACAAAAGATCTTATCCCCAGATGTCAAAAGTGTGACTATATATTAACTACAAAGCAAGTTTAGAAAGAATACTCTTTTTACACTGCAAGGTTAAAAGATCTTGGAATACCCCAGAATACATCAGCATCCCTTAGAAACCAGGAAGAAATCATCACTGAAGTTATGAAGTTCCTACACTATGAAAGTCTTATAAAACATATATGACAAGGTTATAACTAATGATCCTTTCCAGAATTCTTTTAGTTATTATTATCTATTCATTTCTTTTTTTATTTTAAAAGTTCATTCATTTATTAATTTCAATTCACTTATTGATTTTATTACTATTATTTTTTTTGAAGTTTATTTATTTATCTATTTTATCTTATTATTATTATTATCTTTAAGTATATTTATTTAATTTTATTAATATTTTTTATCCTTTTTTTATTTATCTATTTTTATTTTTTTTACCAACCACCTAAACAGTATAAAAGTAGTGTTATTTAGTTGATCAGGCACTGATGACCTGGATGTTTTGCACCTAGACATCGAAACAAAAAAATAAAAATCCTTGGTTTGTAGTTCTATAAATAGAAAAAATTAATTACTTTTATTCTGTTAAAATTCATCTTACTTAGGTAATAATTAGTTATAGCGGATTCTGGATTTAATGGAGGTTTTTTCTTTCTGGCTAATTTTTATGACTTATATCTATGGACTATGTTTGAATTATACAAGTCAGAACTTATTGGAAGATTTTATTACAATTAAATAAGTCAAATAAGACAAAGCATTGCAGACCACTACTATTATTTTTTAATTAAACTTAAATTATTATTGTTCTGAATTATAGTTAATGCATTGGGTTTGATGATAAATATTTTGATTTAACTGCTAAAAATGAATAAGAAATAATTAACTTTTATAACTAAACCGTATTAATAGAATGTTTTTTTTTTTTGCAGGACAGGCAGACTAGACTGGACTTTGCGTTATGGATAGTGATCTTGATCTGCTAATGAGGTGACAGTTGTAGTAGGGGTTTCCAGCATGTAATATTTTGTAGACGGCAAAGACTACTTTATGTAACAATTTTTTAAAAAGTATCTGGAAAAATCACGTAACATATTTGACAGTTTGTCAACAAATGTAAAAAATCAAACTTACCAGACATCTTTCAGTGGCTTATTCGATAACTAGCCCAAATAATTGACTCGAAATTATTCTGTTTTAATGTTGAGAAGTTAGTTGGGAGTTGTATTCAGTAAGAAACAGTAATAAAAATATTAAAAAATTATTTTATTTTGTGCCGACGTTTCAGCCCAAGTTTCAGGATTTTGTTAGGGCTAAGGAACAACAAGACAGCAACCAAAAAATTATTAAACCAACTATTGTAAAAATATATGAGATATTTGTTCTCATATCTTTCTACAATAGTTGTTTTAATAATTTTTGTTGTTATATTGTCCTTTCTCAGTCCTGATGAAGGGATGAAACGTTTGCACCAAATAAAATAATTTTGTTTTTATTTTTATCACTGTTTCTTAATGACTGCCCCAACTAACTTCACTTGAATAATCCTGGTTTTAAAAGTTTTATTTTTATTTTTAATTTCACTATTTAGTGCAATATTTAAAACAGTATTTTATGTAATGAAAAAAAAAATCTACTAAATTATTAATTATTCAGAATTTATTTAAATTTCCCTATAATTAATGTAGAGCCAGCAATGTGCTTCTGAAGTTTCTAAATATGGGTGAACCTTTTCATGTTGGAAATCCTTACTGAAACTCATTTAATCTAGACTTGACTTTCAATAGCAACAATATTTTTCCGTATCACTCGTCATGGTGCGGTTGGGTTCTGTGTCGCTCGTTTTGTATAAATGTTAAATAATTAAGTGTAGTTTATAAATTCTTGGAAAATGAATTATTTTAAATTAGTGCTGTGGAATTAAGTTTTTTTTACTTTAGTGGAATTAGGCCAGTGAAATGGTTATAAATTAGTATAAAATAATTAAGTAGTCCATTTCTTTATAATTACATATTCAGTGTTTCTAACATTGAATTAGAAGTTTGAAAAAAAACAAAACAAAAAAACAGTAAACAGTTGAGAGATATTTGTAAACGACATTAAAATGATATTCTTATGGAGCTTTTTTGGTTTCATTTGTACATAAAGACTACTGAATAGAAGATTATAGTAAACAAAATTTACTACACATTTTATCTAATTATAGTTCTCAAATGTAGGAGCATGGTGTAAGGAAGTAGAGCAAGTTAAAAATTCATCACATATGTGTACTTTGTATATAACAGCATTCTTCGTTGATTTTCTGTATTTAACTGATAATCTATGCTTATAATATGTTCCTAGCATATTTTAAAAGGCATAGTTTGGATGGTAAAATAATTATTTGAGTGATCTTCTGTTCACTCATGTAGGAGCATGGTGTAAGGAACTAGAGCAAGTTAAAAATTCATAAAATATGTGTACTTTGTATATAACAGCATTCTTCATTGATTTTCTGTATTTAACTGATAATCTATGCTTCAGAAAATGATGGTAAAACTAAAGAAAATACATGAACATAACCACAAACAATGTGATCAACCTGGGTAAAATGGGTGATTTGAAGAGGAGGGTATAAATTAAAGTAATGATGTTAAAAATGAAAATCTCTTCTATCTTGTGCCATGCAGATGAAGCGAGCACCTATTTAAAGAAAAGATGGTTTCCTTAGAGCTGCTGTTGTTTATACAGGACTAGCTTCATCTGGAAGAAATCCGTGAGGATAGGCCCAACAACAGGGAGGGTCAGTCAGGGTCGCTGTTATAGTTCCAAAAGTTCGAAATCCACTGTGCCCATTACATCTATTATATTATATTTATGTTATTCGCATCTAATATGTTCCTAGCATATTTTAATAGTTTTGATGGTAAAATAATTATTTGAGTGAACAGAAGAAATCTGGAGAAAATAAGGCCTTTGGAAAATTGTCCTTGCGCCCGCTGTTTTCTCACCACTGTAGTTAGTTGAGGCAATTTTCGGGAGAAGGAAGTTTAGTGGTAGGAATGGAATGTAGGCTGTGCACCTCCATCTCTAATCCTGAGGATTGTGCTTGAAGGTGTCGCCTTCCCCGTTTGCATGCATTTATTGGAGGCATATTATCTGTTTCAAATGTGGTTGAAGGAGGACGGGTAGACATCTGAGGAATTAGGCCTGAGGAACACAGTTAATGGCCTACAATTAATTTCTACAACTTACCCTTTGCTCTTGAAAACCTCTTCTACTTTACTCGTGTTATGCAGGAGGGACCTGTATGACAAAATGGTGGTTTTCTTAGAGCGGTTGTTTTGATGCAGGACTAGTTACACCTGCGTCACACTCAATGTTGGCAGTTTTTTGGAGCAGAGAGGATAGTGTTAGCTTGGTAATATAGGAGGTTGGCAGTGTCCTTGTATCCCTAATCCTGAAGTGCCTTCTTCAAGGTGTCGCCTTTCCCATTTGCTAGCATTGGGGGCATATTTGTTGTTGCTAGGACACTCATTCCTACAACTTATAATAATCTTGTAATTATGTTATATCTTTATTTATAATTTTGGTAGCCTACTTTATAAAAGGAGAGGTTTAAGTTATAATTATGGATTTAATATTTGAAGGAGCTTAGAGGATTATTCAAGGGACCGGGAAAATTATCACTGTGCCCATTTTTTTGTTTTTACTGCCATTAGTTGAGGAAATTTTTGGGAGAAGGAAGGTTAATGCTTGGAATAAAATGTAGGCAGTTGGCTGTGCAACTCCATACCTAATTCTGAGGATTCTGCTTGAAGGTGTCGCCTTCCCTGTTTGCTAGCATTTATTGGGGGCATATTTGCTGTTGCAAATGTGGTTGAAGGAGGACATATAACAACTGAGGAATTAGGGCAGAGGAATACAGTTAATGGCCTACAATTAAGTTCTACAACTTAACCTTTGCTCTTGAAAACCACATCTACTTTGTGTTATGCAGATGTAGAGAGACCTACATGAAGAAATGGAGGTTTTCTTGGAGCTGTTATTTTTTATGCAGGACTAGCTACGCCTACATCACACTCAGTGTGGGTAGTTTATGGAGCTGAGAGGATAGTGTTAGCTTGGGGATATAGGCGGTTGGCAGTGTTCTTATATCCCTAATCCTGAAGTAACTTCTTGAAGGTGTCTCCTTTCCTGTTTGCTAGCATTTATTGGGGGCATATTTGCTATTGCAAATGTGGTTGAAGGAGGACATATTCAGGTAGACATCTGAGGAATTAGAATAAAGGACACTCATTCCCATAACTTATTATAATTATATAGTTATTATGTTACATTTTTATATATTATTTTTTTAGCCTACGTTATAAAAGGAAAGGTTTAAGATTTAATTATAGATTTAACATTTGAAGGAGCTTAGAGAATTATTCGAGAGACCGGGAAATTCATCACTATGCCTATTTTTCGTTTTCACTGCCATTAGTTGAGGGAATTTTTGGGTGAAGGAAGATTAGTGGTAGGAATGAAATGTAGGCAATCAGCAGTGTTGTTGTATCCCTAGTCCTGAAATAACTTCTTGAAGGTGTCCCCTTCCCCGTTTGCTAGCATTTATTTTATTGGAGGCATATTTGTTATTGCAAATGTGGTTGAAGGAGGATATATTCAAGTAGACATCTCAGGAATTAGAATAAAGGACACTCATTCCTACAACTTATTATAATAACATTGTAATTATGTTATATCTTTATTTATAATTTTGGTAGCCTACTTTATAAAAGGAGAGGTTTAAGTTTTAATTATATATTTAATATTTGAAGGATCTTAGAGAATTTTTCGAGGAACCGGAAAAATTATCACTGTGCCCATTTTTGGTTTTTCCTGCTATTAGTTGAGGCAATTTTCGGAAGAAGGAAGGTTAGTGGGAGAAATAAGATGTAGGCAGTTGGCAGTGTCCGTTTTTCCCCAACCCTGAAATAACTTCTTGAATGTGTCACCTGTCCCGTTTGCTAGCATTTATTGGGGGCATATTTGCTATTGCAAATGTGGTTGAAGGAGGATATATTCAAGTAGACATCTGAGGAATTAGAATGAAGGACACTCATTCCTACTACTTATTATAATAATATTGTAATTATGTTATAGCTTCATTTATAATTTTGGTTGCCTACTTTATAAAAAGAAAGGTTTAAGTTTTAATTATGGATTTAATATTTGAGGGCGCTTAGAAAATTATTAAGGGACCGGGAAAATTATCACTGTGCCCATTTTTGGTTTTTCCTGCTATTAGTTGAGGCAATTCGTTTATTCGTTGAGGCAATTAGTTGAGGCAATCCCGTTTGCTAGCATTTATTGGGGGCATATTTGCTATTGCAAATGTGGTTGAGGTAGGATATATTCAAGTAGACATCTGAGGAATTAGAATGACGGACACTCATTCCTACTACTTATTACAATAATATTGTAATTATGTTATAGCTTCATTTATAATTTTGGTAGCCTACTTTATAAAAAGAAAGGTTTAAGTTTTAATTATGGATTTAATATTTGAGGGCGCTTAGAAAATTATTAAGGGACCGGTAAATTTATTCCTGTACCCATTTTTTGATCTAAATTCCATTAGTTGAAGGGATTTTTGGGAGAAGGAAGGTTAATGCTTGGAATAAAATGTAGGCAGTTGGCTGTGCAACTCCATCCCTAATTCTGAGGATTCTGCTTGAAGGTGTCGCTTTCCCTGTTTGCTAGCATTTATTGGGGGCGTATTCGCTATTGCAATTGTGGTTGAAGGAGGATATATTCAAGTAGGCATCCGAGGAATTAGAATGAAGGACACTTATTCGAACAATTTATTATAATAATATTGTAATTGTGTTATATCTTTATTTATAATTTTAGTAGCCTACTTTATAAAAGGAAAAGTTTAAGTTTTAATTATAGATTTAATATTGGAAGGAGCTTAGAGAATTATTTGAGGCACCAGGAAAATTATCACTATGCCTATTGTTTGTTTTCATTGCCGATAGTTGAGGGAAAAGGAAGGTTAGTGGTAGGAATAAAATGTAGGCATTTGGAAGTGTCTTTGTATTCCTAATCCTGAAGTAACTTCTTGAAGGTGTTGCTTCCCCTATTTGCTAGCATTTATTTTTGGCATTTTTGCTATTGCAATTGTGGTTAAAGGAGGATATATTCAAGTAGACATCGAAGGAATTAGAATGAAGAACACTCATTCCTACAACTTATTTTAATTATATATATTCAATACTATATTATTAATTATATAGTATTGATTATAGAATTAATATTTGGGGTGGGAGGGAGGAAGGGCATAAACAGTTATTAAGGTATAGATTTATTTCTGAGTAAGTTTATCTCTGGGCCTATTATTCTTTTTAACTTCCACTATTTGAGGTAATTTTCGGTAGAAGAAAGGTTAGTGGTAAGAATGGAATATAGGCCATAGGCTGTGCAACTCCATCCGTAATCCTGAGGATTCTGCTGGAAGGTGTCGTCTTCCTCGTTTGCCTACATTTATTGAGGGCATATTTGCTGTTGTAAATGTGGTTGAAGGAGGACATATTCAGGTAGACATCTGAGGAATTAAATTGGAGGAACACTCATTTCCATAAGTTTTTATAATTATATAATAAATATGTAATCTCTTGAAATAGTATTTTTGTAGTCAACTTTATAAAAGGAAAGTGTTGGTTTTAATTGATAATTTTTTTCTGGAATATCATTTTGTGCCAGACTTATGTAATTTATCTCTTCCATTTTCTTTATTCTTAGTGTACTAAATATCTGAAAATAAAATATACTTTTCTTCTTTTCCTTCTAAATTGAATAAACTAAACGAATGGAAAACAATTTTTAACTTGCTCTGTCTTTGGTCACTTTTTGTTCTGCATCAAAAAGCTACAGATGAAATCTACAGTAAATTTTGTCTAATTTTATTTTTTTATTAATTGGTAATTTTTACAAAATCGGAACTTTTGGATTAGTGGCTGGTCAAGGGGAGAATAAATAAAAGGCTTAACATATTGATTTTTTTTTGTAAACTTCGTGTTCGGATTAAGCCCTCCAAAATACATGATTAACTGCTCAGGAACGGACCGTGTAGAAACAGTTTAAAATTTACTTGAATTTTCCTAGTTCTGACATTTGAGTGGACTTAGAAACTTAGTGACAAACTTCAGGAAAAGAAAGGCTGCAGTCTTGGATATTGAGAGGTAAGCTTACACAATTCTTATCAGTATAATATTTTTACAAATTCCTAAATTTACATTCATCACTCTTCTTATATCAACCAACTCATTTAATTCATACCCTCAGTCAATTTATAACCTGGAAGCCAGTATATTATTTAATCATCGTCTTACTCTCAACTTCTGCTCACACTTGACATAATGCTCGCTAAGGATTTTTTATTTTTTTATCAATACATATGAATGGTATGTTTTTTTATTGAAAGATTTTTTTTTTTAGATTCACTTATATGAGATATATAGTAAGTAGTCATAAATATTAAAATGTATAATATTTTGTTGTAAAGCCAAGGATTTCAGACAAAATAATATCTAATATATATAATGTCGTAGAAGGTAGTGGAGAGTGATGTAAAAACTAATGAGCAATGATTTCTACTTTTATATTATTTAGTTGATAATAGATTTTTCCATGAATATAAAGTGGAATATTAATTTATTAGCTTTATAGATACAAACTTTTTAGGGAAGTGGTATTTTATCGATATTATTTAAAAAACAAGATAGTTTGAAGGCTGCTTATGGTTTTAAATCTAACATTATTAATTTAAAAAAAAGAATGTTTTTGGTCTAAAAACGTAGACATATACCCTTTTTTACACTTATAGTTAAGTATCTATCTTTCTTTGAACAGATTATTATTTAAAATGTGATAGCAACGCAGTTTAAATACAATCCTTTCTAAAATACAAAATATGTTGACATACCAATACAAAATATACAAAAAACAAAATAAAAAATTTGTACATCTAAAAAATGAATGAAAACCTGTTTTAAATTCTCTAAATACTGTACAATGTTAAGTAAAAAAAAAACAAGATTTTAAAAATAAATAAATAAGTTTTGTTAGCGATCATCAGAAAGCAAGCCTTATAAATTAGAAAACATTGAATGACCAACACCCTGGGATTTCAATGTTATCGCAAGGATATAAAGGGTATAGCCCTATCATTATAGCCCTTAAAGATGGTAGATTGAAATATTTAATATTAAAAATGCAATGTTGGCTTTTAATAATTCTTTACACGTGGGTGTTTGAGCATTATAGATCAATCTTCATTAATATGCATAACAAAAATCATGTGCCATAAAGAATTAAGTTTAAAACCTTATTGTCTAAGGGGAAAAAAAATTAAAATTAACTCACTTAAAAAGTAATTACAGGAAAAGATGAGAGAGGTTTTTAAATTATAAATTTCCATATTAATTGCTGGAACTTTAGCTTTTTACCTCTGGATTTATTACTCCAAGTATTTGTCGTAAGAAAATTAGAAGTACGATAAGAAATAATTGTTCAATGATTAGATTTTTAAATGAAGAAAAAAGTAGATGAAAATTCATGAATAATTCTGAACGAACTACTCAGAAATTTTCTTCTGTCTTCGCAATTATATAGAACCTCAAATATACATAATTTTAATAACAGGATATTTGTCATCAATGTTTTGTATTAATATTCAGTAGTATAACTGATACAATTCATATTCTAAACTAGATAACCCTTACTAGGCTAAAGCCTGCAGAATAGTTATTCATGAAACAATTTACATAGTAATTAAAACCTTCCCTCCTTTTCTTCAAAAAAATCAATTTTATTA